CCACTACCCACCCCCCCAACTGCTTGATTCTTGTGAGTCTCTCTTTGTGTGCTCAAAGGTTCTTTTTCTTCCCCCTAGTGGTTTTTAATTGGCAATACATCATACAAAGTCAGTGCTGCCAGTTCGTTTTTCTTCAGTGGTGTGTTCGTCGGAGTGATCTCTTTTGGCCAGCTCTCAGATCGTTTTGGGAGGAGAAAAGTCTATCTCACAGGTAATCAGTTGCAGCCATAACAAAACAAATGCAGGGAAATGTCAATGTCTTGTTACTCCTTCAGGATCTGTCTCTGAAGAGCCTATGGCAAATTTTCAAGTTCTGTAGAAATCTGATGCTTTGTGCTGAGTTTTGCAGGAGGGGGTTGCTTTTTCTTTCAGTACATACAAGGGACCCAAGTTTAAGACAAGAACTTCCTATTTGGGTGTTCAGCACATCTCTGAGAGGTCTGAGAAGTATTTCGGCACCCAGTTTGAGTAGGTGATCCCACTGTAGGTGCTTAATCTTAAAAAAATGGGTCTACTTGTGGTCATGATCTCCAAATGTTTCACAAACTCCCAACTGTTTTTTACTTTCCACTTGGCTATCTAGACTCCTAAAAGTTCCAGGTGTGAGTTTGTCATTGCATCTTCAGTCATTTATTTATTGTTGGATGTTTGTCATCCAAGCTGAGTTTTAAAATTCACAGACTTGTTGTCTGGGAATTTCATGCACTACACCTGTGTGTGGAAGAAAAAAATGTATATACTATTAAATCAATCAGTACTCTATTTTTTCAGAAACCCTGAAATACTGTTTTTTTAAAAGCCATGTGTTGACTTGGTGCTGCCAAAGATTGATGTTCAGGGTTGACCTTTTACATTGAAAGTGCTTAGTAGCTACAGAACAGATTGCAATGCAGGCTTCTAAGGATGAGAGAGAAGCTGTAGTCGTAGCCTGTGCAGTCCTTGGTTTCTCTGCTCAGACTGCTAACAGATAGAAGGGCTGTGCAAAGCTTCAGTAGCTGATTCAATTCAGAGGAGATTTAGCAGCCAAATCTCCGCATCCAAATCGAATTGGGAGACCCATTAAAAGGTCTGAATCGATTCAGAAGCCTCAGGAGAGATTCAGCCATAGATACAGGCAGCAGTCCTTGCAGACATTGGACATGGCTGTCTCCAGCTGGTAAGTCTGTTGTGGTGGGCAGAGAGAGGAGGGAAGGAGTGGGGGGCGGGGGGCAGATCAACGCCCCCACAGCGAGGGAGGGATTGGGGCTGGAACAAGCTGCCCAGCTGGGGTGGGAGAGCATGGGACTTGGAGAGGGGGCCATCCACCACTGCACACCACTGGTCTGGGAGCTGCTTTTCTGGTGGCTTCTCCAGCAACTCCTGCCACTGGTCTGGGAGGGCATGGGAGCGGGCGTGTGCCCCTGGATCTGTGCAGAGCGGGCTGGGTCAGGCTTCACTTTGGGTAGCTAGTCCCAGCTGCCTGCCACCAGGCTGCACTCCACAGGGCAAGTGAAGCCAGGGCTGCACTCCATGCGGCTAGCCCCAGCCGCAGCCCAGAGTGCAGCCTTGGGTTCACCTGCCCCACAGAGTGCAGTGGAGCGGGGACTGAGGGGGGACTGCACCCTGCCACTGGTCCTGCCCCAACCTGAGTGCACACACCTGCCCCTATGCCTTGCCGCTGCTGGCCCAGTTGGGGTGGGGTGAAGCTGCGGCTTGTTTAGGAGGGGCAGGGAGGCTGGAACGGCTTCTGCCACTGTGCACCGTTTGTCTGAGGTGGTGCAGCAGCACTGTCCCATGCCTCCCCGCCCGAGCTGGGCAAGCGGCGGGAGGGCATAACCCCTGCTCCCAGCACCTTCTGCCGCCCACCCGGAGTGCAGCCCAGCCCAGCCTGCCCTGCACAGATCCAGGGGCACACACCCGCTCCCATGCCATCCTGGACAGGTGGCAAGAGCTGCTGGAGGAGTCACCAGAAGAGCAGCTCCTGGACTGGCGGCGCACAGTGGCAGAAGCCCCACTCCCTGAGTCCTGCGCCCCCCCCACCCCCGCCTGAGCAGCTTGTCCCAGCCTTAAATCCTCCCTTGCTGTGGGGACATTGATCTGCCCCCACCACCCCATGCCCCTTCCCTCCCCTCTCCACTCACCACAACAGATTTACCAGCTGAAGGCAGCTGCATCCAGCATGGTGGAGGACTGCTGCCTATTTAGTCTATGGCCGAATCTTTGAATCAGCGCAGAATCTCCGGATCCAAACTGGCCAAATCAAATCAGGACAGTGATTCAAATCACTGTCCCACCGAATCTGAATTCAAAGCAACTGCTTGTTGCTTCGCACAGGCCTAACAGGCATAGTGTCATGTGATGGTGAGTTTTATGAAGAGAAAAACTGCCCACAGTGAACTAGGCAAGAGTGTTTAGTACAATGAATCCTGTATAGAAGACCTCCTTTTTCAGCATTCCCCTTTATGATCTTGACTTCAAGTACTTACTCCTTTTCTCCCCTGTCACCTCAACTGGCTTTTTTGTGGATCAAGGATGTGATTGCTTAGGACAGGGTTTCACTCAGTGTCAAGTAATGCTTGTGATAAAATTTTGTTGTTCTCATTCAGGTATTATTTTCTGAAATGCATTTTTGTGCTTTTGTCTTCCAGGCTTTGCCCTCGACATCGTCTTTGCCATTGCAAATGGATTCTCTCCCTCATATGAATTCTTTGCAGTCTCTCGCTTCCTGGTGGGAGTGATGAATGGAGGGATGTCACTTGTGGCCTTTGTTCTGCTGAATGAATGTGTGGGCACAGCCTACTGGGCCTTAGCAGGTATGGCTTTGGCTGCAGCATCTTTATAAAAAACTCTGGTGATAGATTACACGTATGCATTTGTACCTGGAAATGCCAAAGTGAACATTGCATTTGAAGATTTAACTTTGCGTTCTTGTACACATACATGACCATGTGTATGTGTACAGAAGTTGCTTTGTTCACCATCTAAAGCACATTATTGCCATGACTTAACAGAAGTGCACAGCTTTACAGCACTTGTAACAATGGCTAATTTAAAGCACTTGTATGCATTTTTAATGAAGTATTAAATTTACAATCTGTGAATCGATGAAGTGCTGTATTTTACAGGACTTTAGCAACCTACAGCACTTTAAATAACTTCTGTACACCAGTCAAATTTCTAAGCGGTGGAGAAATCTCAGGAGACTGCAGAGTGCCTTCTGCCTGGAAAGTGCAGGGAGGCTGTAACTTTTATAGTGCTATAAAAGTGCTGTTAATTACAGTAATGTAAAAACTTGCAAGGAGCACTTCTCTACACATACACGGTCTTTCATGTACCTTTTTCGTGTACCTCTGTTTCGTGTATCTTTTTGGATTGGCTAACCATAAGGAAATCTGGGACATCCAGGACATTCATCCAGGATGCTGGCCCCACCCCCCGTTCCCTCCACCCCTGCGCTTTCAGAAGTCAGTGGGGGCAAGGCAGTATGTCGGGCTTGTAGTGGTGCCTGGCTGCCCACCTGCAAGGTGCTCCATGCCACTCCCAACTCCTGGCCAGACTGGTCCCCATACCCTTGCATTTCCAGGACACCCGTTATAATTCTCAACAGCCGGCCAGGACTGGCCTTTGAAATTCAGGACTGTTCCAGCTAAACCAGGACATGTGGTCACCCTACCAGGACATGTCGTCACCCTATTTTTTTAGAAGACCATAACCAGTGACTTGGGGCCCTTTATATCCCTGCCGCACTCAAACTGAACAACCACCAATGCACATTATCTGCAATAACTTTCCTTTCCACACTACACAGCTAACCTATACCAGTGTGGGTGTGTGTGTGTGATACTGAATGCCTTTGCTTAAAATTTTGCATCCTGGAATACACTTCTCAAGGGCCACTGCCTGCCAAATTTCAGTTCTTCTATGCCTGTCTGTTCTCAAAAAGCAATTGTGAGAGTGTTTACATAATGGGGAAAGAATTGCTTTTTTCATCCACTAGCCTCATCTCAAAAACAGTTAAGCTAATTTTGCCATAATGCTAATAAGTCTAATAATTTATAATGGGACCATTTAGATACCCTTTCAGTATAAATGTTGTTGGTACTTAAGCTATCATACAGTACAGTGCATGCAAATTACAGTGCTCCAAGGCCAGAACTTGACACTTAGTCCTTGACTATGGCCAAAGCAGTGTTAGACTGAGAATATACTGACAGTTTTAAAGCATAATATATCATGTGCCATGAGGATTGCATATAGGTTTTATGTAGTTGAAAATGTTAGCTTTCCAGTGACACTTAGCATTTATTTTCATGTGTGGGAAGTTGTGATGTACCAGCTGAGGTTATAAGGCCTAATGGTTTCTAGTGTTTTGAAATTGCTAGATAAAAAATGCTCTTAGAAAGGCTAAGTAATTATTATTTATATTGCTTTTTTCCTTTTGTTTTTTTCCTCTTTTTGTATCAATTTAAATACAACTTGTTGCACAGTTTTGAAATGTTTTATCCCTGACATTGGATCAGGTAACCCTTTCTGTCTATATTTCCTAATGTGTTGCTTTCCTAACAAAGTCTTAATCTGATTGACTGCACATAGTGAAGAAGAACAACATTATAGAATGGCTGGTAACATTTCTCTCTTTGTTTCCCCTATGTTTCCAATATGTTAGGATCGATTGGTGGCCTGTTCTTTGCAGTGGGAATTGCCCAATATGCTTTATTAGGGTACTTCATCCGTTCTTGGAGGACTCTAGCCATTGTGGTTAACTTGGAGGGAACAGTAGTCTTTCTTCTATCTCTGTAAGTTATTTTTTAAAGCTGTTTCACTGAATTTCATCAAAAGAATGAGAATTGAGGGGAAAAATAGGGTAAAGATTTCTTTAAGGATAAAGTAGAGTAGTTTGTGAAGGTCATGGTAACTTTCCCTAAACTCCACTCAACATCATGTTTCCCTTAAACAGCAATGCTGCAAACTTAACTACATATAATCTTAACGCTTTCACTATGCAGGATAGTAAAAATCTTAGTACGCTATTTAAGAACAGTTTGTTGTGTACTTGTGATTGTCTTTGACTTTCTTCTGGTGTACACATAATACTACCAAATGTTACATATGTACATCTACTGTTATGGATGAATATGTGGTTACATAACCACATGTTATATTTCACCTAGTTTCAAATGTACTTACAAGTGAAAATTTGGCAGTTTTGAGGGGGAAGGAAGTTTTAATCACTGTTTACACTTTTTTGCGGGGGGTTTCCCAACCTCTGTTTATCTTAACTCACTAACATTACTCATTTTGAATCCTAAGAAACGGTGATTAAAGACTCACTGCACACTCTCATGCAGTTGAGGTGTGAGAATTCATAAAGTAGGTCTCAGTGAGAGATCCTAGGGGCTCTTCCCTCAGAAAAAAGCTGACTTGACATTTTTGATGCTTCTAAAGTTAAAAGAAAAGAAAAACCTAAGCAGTTATTTGAAAAGAATAGTCCAGCACTTTCAGCACTTTGTCTTCAGAACGTATAAAAAAAATTTGCTCTCTCAACTTCAAAACTCTGCTCTACAGTGAGTGCAATTTCCCTACCAAATTCCAACCCCTTCAGTTATTTCATACTGTACATAAAAGGTGAAAGAATCTTTTATTATGTGCAGAGAAAATAAAGATGTTCTCTTCCAAAGACTTTTTTATGCAAAGGCTGCTGAATCACTTTTGCTCAAAATCATAAATAAACAAACAAACAAAAATTAAAAAGCCTCTGAGCAGAAATCAAACCTGAAAACCACCTGCTAAAATATGAAAGTTTTTCAGAAAGTCATGAGCAAGTGGAAACAGTTTTAAGAGGCTTTTGTAAGCAGGGTTGGGGTTGCAGATCTACCAACCAGATGCTGTCTCAGGACTGAGAACAGAGCCTTTGTGCAGCTGCTGCTTACAGCCTGCACGTCAATTTGGAACAGTGTTGGGAGTGGGTCAGAAGATAACCTGAGGTTGGTAAATGAAAGTTGTTAGAAGCAGCAGCTGTCTGTGTACTGTAGATTTTCAGTAATGCCGTATCACATCCTGAATTCTGAAATTTCCCTGACATTAAATAGTGTTAACTTCAAGTGCTATTTTAATATACAGTGCAAAGTTTTGCAAATTAGAAACCCATGTAACTGTAAAACTCTCATTTCTCACCGTGCCATGTTAGATCTTGAAAATTCAGGTAATGCTATTTGAAAAAAAATGTTGTGTTGTATTGAAACATCTTTCATTTTTTATTCCAGATAGGCAAGTCCAGTCTTCAAGAATAGTGGGTCCCTAAGATTACCAATGAACTCTCTCTCCGTTTCAGATTCATTCCTGAATCCCCCCGCTGGTTGTATTCACAAGGCCGACTGAATGAAGCAGAAGATGCCCTCTACCTCATTGCAAAGAGGAACTGCAAGCAGAAGTGTACTTTTTCATTAAAGCTCCCAGCTGACAGGAACCACAGAGAGGCTGGAAGTTTTTTGGACCTATTCCGATACAGGATCCTCTTGGGACGCACTTTAATCATGATGTTCATCTGGTACTTGCAGTCCCATTTTAGGCCCAGCTCTTGCAAGTGCAACTGCTGCTGCTGCTTAAAGTCTTTGAATAGCCAAATCATCATGCATACCATGCTTTGGCTCATTATTTATTATGAGGGGCATTTTACATGGAAGAGGTTCTTTGGTTCTTACCTTTTGCTTATTCTTAACCTGAAGTCATTTTAATAATCTAGGCCTAAGGTAGTTTATTTTTGCATATCTGTGGGGCTTTTTATCTAAGAATCTCAAAATAACTGAGCACTACCTTCTCTTCCAAGGCTGCTGAGATTAGCCATGCTGCCCTTGCTCTTTGGATCAGGATTGTATAGGTGTTTTTTCTTTATTGGGCTCTTGGTGTCCAAGTTATTGGGTCCGTGTGGACACTGAGCCAGTTCTATTTTAGTGTTGTAATGTCCTGGATATAGATAGATCTGCTGAGGGAGCTGCTTTAAAAAAATTACCGTATTGAGCTTTTTTTTTTTCTTCAAGATGCTTAAAGCCCTTTACAAAGCTCCTGATCTTGCAGAGATTTACCCACATACTTAAAATGAAGCATGGGTTTGTTTCTACAGAGTCTAAGTTAAAGTTGGGTAAGATCATATTTTTCAAATAGAGAAACTGAGACCCTGAGGAATTAAGTGTCTTATTGGCACAGTCAGGAATGAATTCCTGTTTCCTGTACTAGTCAGTGCTTTGTCTTCATTTTTAAATTAACAGCTATTTTGTGATAGTGTCAAGACAGGTGTTTGTCTTGGTTAAAAATAGGGTGGATTGCTCTTAAAATCAATGGTTTAAAGCAGGGCTGGTCAAGCTGTGGACTGCACATGGCATATAGGGCGTTAATGTGTAGCCTGCAGGCCCCCATCTGGGCAGCACTCCCCCTTCTGCTCCAGCAAGACAACTGCTACTGCTGCCACCATGGTCTTCGGGCTCCGTGGGGTGAGGAAGTGCCTCTGGCACAGTAGGGAGGCCTGCACAGCATATAGCCTCCAGCACACATGGTATGCAGCCCCCAGCCCTTCTGAAGGTGCACAGCCCCAATTTTAAAGAATCATTTTAAACTGATTTGAGGCAGCAAGCCAGAAGCTTCGATTCAAGTAATTATTTTTAATCTTGTTTTATGTATGTGCTTGTAGTTATAGTCCAAAAGAAATGCTGTTGGAGCAGCAAGGCAGACACCGTTGTCCATAAATCCACTAAGCTTCATGTTTTTCACTGACTTTTGCTTTTAAGTTTGGTGGTACTTCTTGCTGGTTGAGAGAATATGCTATGTATATGCATGTAAGCAAGCAAATATATAACGTAAAGTACATGTTACATGTAACCAATAGGCTGTTGGGCAGAAACATGGAAGGGTCCTCCCTCCCCTCCTTGGTTTTTGCCTTGCTACATTTTTGGGACTTCCTAGAATCATACAACAGTAAGGCTGGAAGAGACTGCAGGTCTAGTCTAGCCACCTGCTCAAGGCAAGATTGTCTGTAACTAAGCCATCCTAGTCAAGTGTTTGTCTAACTTGTTCTTAAAATTGTCCAAGGATGGAGATTCCATAACTTCCCTGGGTAGCCTGTTCCAGTGATTGACCACTCTCATAGTGAGAAATTTCTTCCTAAGCTCCAACCTAAATTTCCCTTGCTGCAATTTAAGACAGTTGTTGCTTGTTCTTTCCCCTGCAGCCACAGAGAATAGTCTGTCTCCATCCTCTGTATAACCACCCTCCAGGTATTTGAAGACTACTATTAAATCCCCCTTCAGTGTTCTCTTCTCCAGAATAAATAACCCTAGGTGTTTCAGCCTTTCCCCCAAGTCATGTTTCCCAAGTTTCTAATCATTTTTGTCACGCTCCATGTGGCTTTTTCTAATCTTTCGTGAAGCGAGGGAACCAAAAGTGAGCACGGACATATGCTCAGGTACACACACATGAAGTTGCATGCCTACCTATCTGGAGTGCAGCCTATTCTACATGCTCAGTAGCCATGTGGGTGCTTGTGCATCCATATCACACACAGACTAAGATTGTTAACTGTGTGTAAGTGCCAAACAACTAAGTGTAATATGAAATAGGATTGTGCCCTTTGTGTGGTATTTAAAAGATCCACTTTTACTATATTAAGCTACCAAATCTTGAACACTTTTTAGCAGATGTGAAACAATATGAAGGAGGTAGAACAGGGAGCTTATCCCAGAAATAGGGAACAGCATGGAAGAACGCCTAGAGATAGGCAGGAGAAAGAAACAAAAGGAACAAGAAGACTGAATTGTAGGTATAACATTTGAGAAAATAAAGGTGGGACATGTAATTGGTTATAATACTGTGCTGAGCTGAGAATGCAAACATGGGCATCTAGAACTTGGGATTGGAAGTTGAAGAGCGATAGGAAGGAATCAACTGGACTGAAGTGATGGGCTAGGAAGCTAGCTGCTGAATAGTGGGAAGAGCTGTAGGTCATGAGTGGGAAGTGCTGTAGCAAAGCTTAGTCAGGATCCCAGGGTCAGAACTGCAGGAAACCTACTGATTATATTTGAGGTGGATTAGCAAAACTCTTTAGGAACTTTATCCAGTCCCTGCTCACATCATCTGCACAAACTGGTGGCACTAGACCTTCCTCACTGTGTTGGTAAGGGATGCTGGCACTGGCAGGTGGCTGCTCATTCAGGATTACTGCTGTATGACACTTTCCCCCCTGCACCTGCTGTCTTTAGTCAGTAGCAGAAACAGCTTTCCAAAGATGTGTGTTTGGCTTTGTGCACTTAGGTTACCATGTGTTCTGCTGCCACCTAGAAATGGGACATGGTTCAGCTAGAGCTTGAATACTGAGGTTCACATTAGGATGGTAATTTTGGTTATATTTGTCAATTAAGGGAAAAAATGCATTTTTATATTAGTGGAAAACTTGGAGCGTAGTGTAGTGACTGTTTGCGTTGCTATTCTAAAATTTGCATACAGAGCAGAAGACTTCAGATGTCCAAATGCAAAGGCATGAAGACATAAAGTTCATTTACTGAGGAAAGGATAAATGAGATTGTCATTTGTGTATTTCTGGAAAGAAACCAGCTGCTTACCACTGCAGCAGTCCAATGAAAAATGCCAGTGGATGGTTACAGGGAATGAGAGACAATGGACAATGGAGGAATGAATAAAATGGGAGGAGTTTAAAAATGACAAGAGGACAAACAATTAAATGTTTGGATCAAAGGCTTATAGAAACTTGGGAGTGAAAGGGGTATACAGAACTTGGAACTGGAAAGTCATATGTCTTGTTAGTTTCATCAAGCCAAATACCGTGTCTTTCACGCTTATACTGTGGTTGAGTTAGTAAGGCGCTAAATAGCTTAATAAGTCTTAAATGTAATTCGATCTTCATATAAAGAAAATAGTATGTCAGAGATTGGGTTTGTGCCAAAAAAAATAATTCTGCTTCGTATAAAACATCAATAGTGTGTTTTAAGAGCCTATGCCTCCTCTGTAAACAGCAAGAAGTGACTATACTAGATGTGTTAAGTTGAAGTAGACTGATATGACTAAGTGATCTTGCAGGGGAAATCTAATAGTCTTACACTTGATTTCTTTTCTCTTTTCCTTACCCACCTACAGGTTTGTGTGCAGCTTGGTTTACTATGGTCTCACCCTCAATGCAGGTGACTTAGGTGGAAGTATTTATACCAACTTGGCCTTATCTGGTCTCATAGAGATACCTGCCTACCCAATCTGCATCTACTTGATTAACCAAAAGTGGTGAGTAGTGAATACCATGAAATCCAACTTACTTTTTCGCAAAGATATATTTCCTGAATACAAATTCAGTCCTCAGTGGGCATGTCTACACGAGACACTATGTTGTGGTAGCAATGAATTATGGTGACACAGCATTGGTGGGCACTCACTGTGATGCCGCCATGACTGTGTGGTAGGGTCAGAAACAACTTGTGCACCACTGGGACTGTGTAGTACCAGCAAGTACTAAATGATTGCGCAGTACCAACTGCACAGTCAGGGGCATGCATCCAGCATTTAGTAATCCTTTGAAGGAACTACTAAGCATCCCAGTTCATTACGTCTTCCTTGGGGAGAACATTTTTATACAGAAAATAGTATGTGTGTAATTTTTTTACTCTTTTTTTTTTTCTCTTTTTCATTAATATAAACATAAATGGATCTTAATGGAAAAGAGAACTAGTAAATAATCATTCAGATCTAGCACACTAATGAAACTGAAGGTCCTGATAGTTCAATTGCTCTGACTCCATGCTAACACAAGATGGCACTCCTTTACACCTCTGATTTTGTGACAAAGAATCCCCTTGTTCTTTCTAAGCCAGCTCCCTGTATATTCTGTTGGAACTAAGGTGTTGTTCCTTAGGGGCATCTTCCATATTGGCATATTGTGCTGCTTAAGCTTTAGGGTGGCTGAACATTGGGTCACATATCCTGGTCCGTGCCGCACTATTCTATTCTTTTTCTCCTTCCAGTTGAAGTCATTTCAGAATCTTCTGAATAGATCACTTTCTCCCCACATTTCCTCTGAGTAGCTTCCTCTTTTCTTCCCCTCTGCTTAGTTCTGCATTCACAAACACTTGACAGCAAATTAAAAATCTGCTAATTTTCAGTGACATTTATGGAGATTTCTTTGTCAAATACTAAATGTACAATCTCATGCACTGTCTATATCATGAGAGGAATAGAAGCTTCTATTTAAAAAAAATGGAGGGTGAAAATAAAAACTTTGCAGGAGATGGCATTCAGCAATTTTAACTGGGAGTCCAGAGTGAGTTTGGGTGAATTTAGAATGCTCTGTGCTTTGAGGTCATACTAAGCCGCCTTCTTTCTGACCCATCAGGTTTGGTCGGAAGCGAACATTGGCAGCATTCCTGTTCCTGGGAGGGCTGGCCTGTCTTATTGTCATGTTTCTCCCAGAAAAGAAAGGTAACTTCTTGGGTGTTTTCTTGGATAATTTTGTAACTGTACTCTGGACCTCCATAATATCCTCTGTTTCAGGATCCAACGATTTCACAAATATATGTGAATGCAGATTTATAGCACCCATCTGGCCAATCTCCATTATGCAGCTGGAGGAACTGAAGCTTAGAAGCTTTCCTAGGGAGCTTTCCTAAGGCCTTGAATGAGTTGGTGAAAGAGTGGAATAGAACACATTTCTGTAGTCCCAGTCCTTTGCTTTTAATCACGACACCAGCCCCCTCCCATTTTTGCCTTACACTTTCTACTTAATGCCAAACAGTACTGCATACTTTTTAGGCATTGGAGCCCCACTCCTGCATTTGTCTAATGTTCCAGCAAAATTGATTCATCAATTCATCCTTCAGAAGTATGTAATTAGAGTATCTTTCAAATTGTGTATGCATCTCTGAAGGACAACTTTAAAAGCAAAAAATCCCATCGCCCTTGTCTCTTTGGCCAAGTCTTCCTTTTCCCCTTCCACACAGCTGTGCAGTATGTTCAAGAGGGGGTGTATAAACCATGTATAGTTCACAAAGCACTTTGGGAATCCTCTGAAGTGAAAAGCACAGTAGAAATGTGGAATTAAACTTATTTATACATTCAGAAAGCCATATAAGGATCCAGCATGATCTTGCTTTTCAGGTGTTCTACACAGAAGTGAAAACAGAAAATATTAAGGGGAAAAGATTTCTTCTTCCTTTGGAAAGCAAAGCACATAAATTATTTTGTAAACATACTTACATATACATAGAAAGTACCTGTCAGGATATATAAATGCCTTCAGATATCAGATGAGCTCAGCAGGATTCAAAAAAGGATTAAACATCTAGATAATGTGAATATGCCCACTGACAAGAGATGGTGGTGAATGTAACAGATAAGATTTTTTTATATGGATAGAACTACTCTAAGTTTACAGCATCTGTACAGTACCAAAGCTAATACTCTTAAAGGTGTTGCAGTGTTTGGGCACCCTTCCGCACAAAGGAATTGTAAGCTCCAAGAGAGGTATCTGGGATACCCAAACAGGACATTAGGAGAGTTAGATGCCTGAGGATGAGAGCCTTACCATCCATCTGAGTGGGAAGGCTGCCTAAACTAGATAGAACTGAAATACAAAGCAAAGGAGACGGCTTCAGAGCCTTAGCAGCTAACTGGCTAAAGATAGGCACCCACATCTCCAGCCAAGCAAGTGTTTCTTTCTACTTTGGATCCTGAACTAATCTGGGAGTTAAGTACCAAAACAGCTATGTAATTGCTTCTAGAAAACCTAGTTGTACAATAATAACACATCTGGGGTATTAGCAACTCAGGTTTAATCTCTACTTTGCTTGTTTGGGCACATGGACTTAAACCTCCATCCAACTTGAGTGCCCTAAACACTGGGATGTAGAGTTGGTCTTTGTTTGTAGCCCAATAAATATTTGTTTCAGCAGGAGAAACAGATAATCAATGAACGTGTACTTCCGACAGATATTGTCCACAAAGGAACTCTGATAGCATAACAAACTCTTCAACAGATTCCTTTCAGTTCTACTTTGTAATTGAAATAATTACTGAAAGACATTTCCATATGCTATGGATCCTTACAAAGCTCAATTTTTCTTCTTCAGACACGGGAGTGTTTGCAGTTGTGAACAGCCGTTCATTGTCTTTACTGGGAAAACTGACAATCAGTGCAGCATTTAACATTGTTTATATCTACACATCAGAACTTTATCCTACAGTAATCAGGTAATGCCAATTTACTTTACAATAGTAGTTTTCTTGCCACCTTATTACTGCCCTTTTACGTTTTTTCCTTATTAATTGTACCTTCTCGCTGAGACTTTTGCTTTAAGGAGAATGATTGTGAGTAGTCATTGAGCCTTACGGACTGAAATTCACTTAAAATTCTTCTATGTATGGATTGTTCCTTCAGAGTAGACATGCAGAACATTAAAATGTAATGTCCAGCATGCTTAGGAAAGTTGCATCTCTCTCTGCAATAATGCAGGTGAGCAATAGCAATGTTAATATTTGTATAGTAGCCACACCCAAAATTCACATGGTGCTGTATAAACATAAGGCAGCTGTGTTTAACATTCCTGGAAGTGTAGCCAGTAGTATTGTGGTTTATACGTTTAGCATGCTGCAGTCAGCAAGAGTGACATTGTTGTTTTCAAACTACTTGAGCAGCTCTGATGCTTCATCAAGTAGAGAGCAGGGGCATGCATACTTATAAGTGGGTGAATAGATGAATATAGCATGTAGATGCAGCTATACTGGGTATTTATGCCAGGTGCAGCCATCAGTGACCAGTCACTATTGTTGCTGCACCAGTGCAGTCCCTCATCTCGGAATGGTGCTGTTTTATGCCCAGTTTCAGGTAGGATTTAAAATTATCTGATCCAGATCTTAGTTTGTAGGTGGTTTGTCTGTCTGTGCTAGGACAGCTATAGTAATGAATGAAATCCCAAGTGTAAACAACACTGTGTACTATTTATTCCAGTTCTGCGATGATTTTTCCAGTAAGTTTTGTGTGCATTTTATCAGTCGGAGTCCTACGGCTAAGATTTTGCTTGTTGGCACTCTTAAACGATGCTTTAGTTCCTAATGCAAATACTGTGCTTGACACCTGCTTTTTTCTTCTTAGGAATGTTGGAATGGGTGCCTGCTCCATGTTTTCCCGAGTTGGTGGGATTATTGCTCCTTTTGTCCCTTCACTGGTTTGTCTGCACCTCCTTATTTTTTTATCTACATTCTCTTTCCCTTGACTGTGGTGTGTCAGATGATTGGAGGGATGAGGGAGACAGATTAGACTGTATAACTACAATTTAAATCAGTGCAATGTGCCAAGAAGGCTGACTGGATGATCTAATGTTTTGTGCTTCTCCATACAAGGTTAAGGACAGAGGATCTAGCCTTTATTTAGACAAAACTCCAACATCTAGTCTACTGGGTATTTTTTATCCATTTAAGGATTTGTAGAACTGGTTCACAGATTTGCAGCTTCACTACATTGAGATGCTCAGATACCACAGTGATGAGCCTGGCATAAAACTCCAGGTAGGGAAAGGGTAATAGTGAAGGATTTATCATGTCATAAAATCTCACTGCCTTGTATCTTTAGTGGTTACAGTACCTTCTGTAAATGGCTTATAGTAAAGGTGAATCTCCTCATATAAAGTGCCTCAATGCACAGTTTGGGGAGGGGGTGAGAAAATGTCCTTCTATCTTGACACTTACAGTCATCAGTTAAAGTTGGAGGTTTAACAATCCTTATTATCTTAATAAATAAAAAATGGGGCAGCCCTCTGTTGGTTTTTCTGTCACTGTACCTTGCTGTATACATGCAAATTAAAATTCATAGCCAGACACTGTAGCGTTAAGTGTTGGTGTTGGTATGGAGACCTGAGATGCTGGGAACTTCACAATAGCCCCAGAAGGGAACTTGAAACCCATAAAATCAGATTTGGGGGAAATGGTGGGCCTCTGACTCTCTGGTGGAACAAATTGGAGGAGGACCATCTACTTCACTGAAATCGTAGAGACGTACTTGTTAAAACAAAGTTTTTCAGGGACTAAGATCACCCTTAGGCATCTAAGTCTACCGAGGTATGTGATAGGTAGAATAAAATCTAAGTGAATATGTAAAATGCTAGGTAAGGACTCCTACTCTGTTAAACTATATTTTTTCTTTAATTTTCAGAAATCTGTACAGTGGTCTCTGCCATATATTGTGTTTGGAGTTACTGGCCTTCTCTCTGGGCTCCTGAGTTTATTGTTGCCAGAAACACTGAACAGCCCTTTGCTAGAGACAATATCAGACCTGCAGGTGTGCTCATATTGGAGACTCGGGGAAGAAGCCATGTCACTACAAGCACTAGATGGCTCGCAGGTATCCCAGCTTTCTGGTCAATACTTCTTCACATTTGTACTGTGTTGCTAGTAGCTGCCAACTTGAATAGGGCACCCTAACTAGGTTAGGACAGTGGTTTTCAGCTTGTGGTTGACAGGTTCCAAGAAAACTTAGGAAATGGTTCATGATCTTACCATTGGTTCTGAAATACTCTCTAGAGTATTCCTGAAATACTAGTTGGGCCAACTCAGTCCATGAAACAGTACTTAGCCAGAAGGTTGAAATCTTTTCCTTTAGGACAAAAGACCATAGCAAAGTTATCTGCCTGCTTTGCCTCTAAGCTGGATTCTTGAATTATGGTTCATGCAAAGCTAGTTTTTGAGATCATTCAAAACCTCCCCATGACCCTGGTGAAAGTTTCTCAGAAGAAATGCTAGACTTGTGATTTGTGCTGACTTTGTGATTTGTGCTGACTTTCAGTTTATTTCTGGGTTCAGTTATATAAGGGGTAGGTTCTAACTTTTATAAAGGCCTAAACTTGATTAGGGCCTAGTTTGCTCTGAGATCTGCCTCTGTCCTGATCCTAGTCACTGAGATGAATTGAAATGTTGGAGCTCATGGTCCCAAGGCTTGTCTACACAGAGATAGCAGCATGCCCTGGCTGGGATGGTCTGCAACATGCCCTGTCCACATACCCCTCTCTGATGCCTGAAGGTATGCTCCAAACCCAGAAGTTCACTGGTGACGTTACTCCAAATTTGTCCCTAGTGACAGCTTTCAGGGCCTTGAGAGCAGCCTCAGGAAGCTACCTTCAAGCCTTTCTGCCAACAGATTTACAGGCTTGAGGCATACTTGTGGGTTCAGGTAGGCTATGCATGTTTGGGCCCATCCTGGCTAGGACTCCCTATCACCATGGTGTAGGATTATAGAAGCAGGGGGGGTTTTTCCTCCCAATGAAGCTTGTTGCACTCTTGCATTTACTTTCCTTGTTAAGTAGGTTTTGTCCATCTTTCAGTCATTTCCTGAGGTGAAAGAGTTCTCTTGGACCCTGTGTTTCTGTACCTCTGCACTAGCGGGGTACGTTTTATCAAACAAAAATAAATTAACATGCTTACTTAAATACTTGATGGCTGAATCTAGAGGCTACAAAAAGTGCCAGATTGATGTCAATAGTAATATACTTAACTTCAGTGAAGTTATACCCAGGGTAGAGCCTGGCCCATTACATGTTTAATTTAAATCTTCCCATGAGAAAATGTACAGAAAATAAAAGCTGATAAACAGTCTATCTGGCAAGGCCATGGGAAGACCTAGTGCAGTTGCTGTAGGATTTACAGAAAGTGGTTGAATTTCTTGCTGTTTATACTGTATGTTATCCCTGTGGACTCCATTGTCCTTCCTTCATGACATGATGTAGTCAGTCTCCTCAAAATGGAGACTGTCTCCCTCTGATCATATTCAAGGATATGAAATTCATCTTGAATAGCATTCAGTTACAGCCCTGCTCTTCTGAGATGATCCTGAGGAATGCAAAAAAAACAGTGTTAACCCATTTTTCTTATTATTTCTTGGGTTATTGCACAGGATGTTTAAAATTCCTTTTTTGATATGTTTAACATTAATCACACATTGCTCTACCAAATACCAGCAGAGTCTGCTGTTTCATGTCAGTGAGGACAGTGATTCCCACCCCCTACCCTCCAGCCTTCCCCTGATACCACTGTATGAGGAATAGCTGTGGGGTAGATGCAGTTTATATTGGCAGAAAGTCCAGGGGAACTGGTATGTATAAGCTATGCTAGGAAAAAAAAAGACTCTAGATAGAAATTGCACGTTTATTAGAGGGATATGCTGGTTTAGCTAATACCACCAATCCACCTGAGTGGTAGGCAAGGCTTGAATGTAGCCACTCTGATCAACAAAAAATGAAGTCTTGTCACATTTTCTCTGTTAGGCTTTGAGAGAAATGGGAAATGATAGAAAAAATGACCAATGCTTTTGTTCTGGGGTGAGCAAAGTAACATGACTTGCATGATTTAGTAACACGCAAGCATCTTAATAATTCTCCTTCTCCATAGGAGCCATCATTTTTTGTTAGTGCTACAGGCTGGGAAGTTGCATATGCTGAGTGAGGGAAAATTGCTTGCAAAGGAATCATTGCAATACTATAAAGCTATTGTATTGTGTGCTGGCTAGTTATTGCTGTCACCCAGAGAGCTTTGTCTTTCTTTGATATTTTTTTTTTTTGGGGACTGGGGCATTTTGGAGTCTATGGAAGCCAACTCCTATTTATGTAACTACATGTGGCTTATTTTTTAGGTAGTAAAAATGAAGTAATTTTTCCAGGGCCACTACAGTATAAGGGACTATAACCATATTATCAAAATATAGCCTAAAAAGCAGGAACATGCCACTGCAACCTGTCAACTTGCCCGATCTTGGAAGCTAAGCAGGAATTAGTTTGGCTCAGAATGTGAATGAGTGACTTGTAGTGAGAGCCAAGGGTACTTTTGGAAGTGGTGTTAGTGATCTGGTGCTGTGGGGATGCTTTCCACTTGAGATGCTCTCAAGTATATTGTTAACCCAAACAAGGAACTTAAAATGGATCTTTATTCTTAATGTTACTCAGATTTTTGCTGCAGGGAGATGAAGAATGATATTGTCAAAATTCATGAGTGAGAATAAAGAGGTTTAAATGCAGTTCTCCTTTGACAAATGGGTTTTACAGATCTTTATTCTATCCCAAAATAGACACGTTGGTTGGCACAGAGCCTTTATGAGCTGGAACACAGTATATAAATGTATGTTTCCCCTAACCTCAGGTGCTGTAGAAGCCAAGGGTATGAAACTGCCTACCAGCACAGCTACCTCACCGTTGTCCCTTTTACAGCAGTTTCAGCTTCTGTGGCACCTCTGCTTTTCCTTGATACCTGGCACGCTGAGCTTTTTATATTCTGTGGTAGCTTAGTTGTAGTTGCTGCTCCAATTGTCCTGTTAATTTCTAAAATCTTCTGTATCCTTAGAGTCTTTCTGTCACTTGTTTAGGCATATTTTTTTAATTCTGCTGTTCTGGCCAGCTCAAGTCTTGTTGGTTTGATTGCCATGTCAAATAAGCTTGGCACTTGCCCTCAATCTTATTGTAATAACATCCATGTAGGAAGATGTCCACAACAAACACAAGTTACAAATAATTAAGGGTGGGAAAACAGAAAGGCAGTCTACTTCCTGACTTCTAGTAGTTCTAGACTTTTAGTAGTTAGGGTTGGAGACACTACACAAGTATGTCTACACTACATCCCCACTCACCTGGTCTTGTTTGCCAACCCCAGAATGTAGTGGTCATGCATAGTGGAGTTTGAGGCCTTGAGTGACTGTGAAAAGGCCCTCTGAGCAGCTTCACTGGCACATTTCCAGGCTTGACATATGCAAAAATTGGAGAAATTGTGCAGGGAACATGCATGAGTGTCCCTTCCCAGACATGCTGGAACATGGTGTGGAAATGTCCAGTGTAGAACAGTTTACAGACACATGGTGTAGAAACACTTCTATGTCAGGAAGCTTTGTAGCTCACTGAATGAGAAGTTCCCTAGTTAGTTTTCTTTTCCTGCATCCACCTTCCTTTATCTTCCACTGCTGAGAACAGAGAGGTGTCATCAGATGCACCATCACTTAAAGAATCCAGTGAGATATGGATCCAAAATCCGCTTACTTGCATCTGAGAAGTCTGAGTAATCCTGGGCAAGTTGTTAACTTTTTGGTATCAGTTTCCTGCATATGTATAGTGGAAGTTCTCACTTGCATCTCAGTAGGGTTGCATTGCTTCATGTTTATAAAACATCAAGATGCTCTGAAACGTGCTGCAGAAAAACATTTTTGGGGGTGTGTGAAATTTGATGCCTGCTGAACATTAAGCAAGTATTTAATTTTTCTTTCTAGTCTGGAGACAGAGACAGCTCTGCAGGAAGTGGAAGTGAGGATGAGGAGTTTTACGATGCTGATGAAGAGACCCAGATGATCAAGTAACAAGAAGAAATGCTCATTTTTATGCCTACTTTACTTGTCCAGCCATGTCTGCCTGTAAGAATTTAAAAAGTGAAAAAAAGGACCATCTGCAGATGGATGTAACAGGGCAAGTGCCTCTGCTTTAGAAGAGTTAGAGTACTGTTCAAATTCATTACATTTGTTTGATTGGTGACTACTGCTGATTTTTTTTTCTTCTCACACATGAGAAACGGTTAAATTTTTGTGGCTCAGAAGTATGATTGCAAGCCAAGTCTGAGCACAGAGGTGGTGGCATAAGGTATTTCTGAAACTTGAAGCATTTGAGAACTGATCCACCTTTTGGGAAGATTGCCACTTCACCTGTTCCTATTTTTTTTCAAAGTGAGTTCATGTTTTTTCAAGGTGAGCTCGTCTGAACCAACTTAAATCCATAAACTTGAAAGCTGTCACTAGATATTTTTCAGATGGATAAAACCTAGAGGATTTAACTGGCCACAGAAGGCTCTCTGTGCCAGCCCAAGGGGAACAGATTTCTGACACCCTGCACGTTAAGGTGCCTACAGCACAGTGGGGACATTGAGCTGATGGAATCTGTGCATGTTCCACATACACACAAAGTCACGGAGTTCCAGTCTGGAAGATGTGGTGCTGTGGGATGGGGTATACCAACAGCTGACAGCCTATATTTAGTTGTGGTAGGTGGAGCACTAGAGGAACCATTGAAGGTTGAAAGGACCAGCAAATTAGAATAGGCAAAAAACTTTAAGGGAACAGAAGTCCTCCTTAACGCTGATCTATTCTCCCTGCATCTGTCTCCTGAATCTTTCTTTCCTATTCTTTTGGCTGTTACACACACACACACACATTTGCCATGTCTGTCTAGTCTTAGGACATCTCTGACCTTCAGTTGCATGTGTTACTTTTGCTGCTTTTGCCTTGTCTCCACTTTGCTGTGTAAATTTGAAGGAGTGTGACTTGTTTTTCCATTGCATTTAGTGAATGTCTTTGGGGTGGTAATTTAATTGTGAGGGCACAGTTTAACTAGCTGTTGTGTTACTGTGGTCTGTCTATGATTATAGCTGGGGGAAAATGACCTCTACAGTGGCACAAGGAACTGTAGTTGCTGCCTCTGCAGACTGCTGCTAGTATCTTGTAGGTTATTTGAAGAAGGCTGCTAGTATTTATTTTAAAGTTTTGTGTACAGGTAAAGTTCTTTGGAAGTGGCTTGTGCCAACATTCAGTTGGTTACATGACCTTGCTGAGGGAAAACTATTCTCTTTTTACGGTGATTTTAAAAGTGCTTTATTAAAAATGTTGAGTGTCTGAAGTGTTGCCAACTAATAAGATGAAGTCTTTGTGTAACAGTTCAGCATTCCTGGAGAGTTGATTTTTATGTAATTCTTGGCAGTTGCTGGATCAGATTTCATATTAAAGTGACTGCAAAGAATGTGTAAGGGGGGCTGGTTATTCTTTGGAATATAGCACTGGATCAGGCAATTGGGAAGAAGGGGCAGTTACTGAACCTATTGAAGAGTTAAACTCAAGCAATACTAAATCAGACTAATACTTAAAAAAAAAAAAAAAAAACAGCTTGAAGTTTGCCTGATCAGAACCTGTAAAATGGAACTTACTACAGTCATCCCTATCTTGAGAGTAGATGGCGGTCTCCAAACATTCCTGGTTCCGGCATATAATGCTTCATTGTGGTCTGAACAGATCCTCTGCTGCAGTGGTCTCCAAAGGGGGGTGCCCAAGATGATCCATTGGGGTGGGAAGAAAATATTAGAACTTCTATTTATATTTATATAAATATACATATATTGGGGATGCATGCTCAAAATTTTTTTACTGATAGGGGTGTGCGATCAAAAAAGTTTGGAGACCACTGCTCTACTGAACCATTCCTATGAGCAAATTGGAGAGCTGTAGCCTCTACAGCCAGTACTTGGTAGGGAAGATCAGGGCAGCTACTGACTAGTATAATTTACGCTGGGCCATTTTCAGGTTAATATGGTGTCTCCCCTCTCTCTTTGCACAGCTCTTCCAAAATGTGATGGCAAAATTAATAACATTTTAAGTCACCTGGATTTTCTTTCTGCCATATTTAGCTCTTTTTCTACATAGGAAGATTACTTGGAGCGAGGTTCTTGGGACTGTTAGTAAATTTGATTCTATTTTTTCAGTACGTTTTCTTTAGTCTTACATTTGCGTTTTAAATTGCGGGGATGTAATCTGAGAAAAGGTTTCTCTCTAGTTCTTTGGTGTGGCTTTTGATTTATAATGCTTCTAAATATGTGAAAACTGCTCAGAGAATGTTAATGCCAAACTTGGGGGTTGTATCTGTGCGGTTGTAAACCTTTGTTTATTGGGGAGTAATTTCCACAGTGTACTTCCTGACTCTGCCTGGCTTTGGGTCAGGTAGTAGTAGTGACTCTCATTAAACTGGGGTTTTTGGCCTTTCTGGTAATTTGGGTTTTATCTTTGTGTCAAGGCAACCAGCCATATGAAAGGGCTGAACCCAACTATGAATGGGAACCCAGCCCTGGGAAAGAATAATTTGTGTAGCACTCCCCTGGGAGTCCACATGGTTATAACAGTTCATCTTAGGGGATCTCTGCAGGATGTGCTTCAGCCTTTGTGACAGTCCTCTCTTTACTCTGAAATGTATCTCCATTTCATGCAAGTACTCCTACACTTAAATGGTACACGCAAAATCACAAAACTGAGGCTGAAGGAAATTATTGTGCTGAAGAGATTAACTGCACTTTTTGGAGACTTGTGTTCATAGTCTGTACCCCATGCTTGTACCAGTAGAGGTTGAGATGACTGCCTTCTTTATCTGTGTCCTACCCTTTTCCACCATTGTTATTTTTAATGCTTATTTTTTCATGCCAGTATGTCTAACTGTCTTGTAGGCAGAATCCTGTTTTAGCAGATTTCAGTCATCTACCAGCAGGATTTTAACAAAGAAGCACTTCACCTTCCCCTCCACATGCTCCATATTCTAGGTTCGCTGGTGATTAGGAGTGGAGTTCCCTTTGAAAAGCTAACTTGATACAAAATGACTTTCTGCCACTGACCCTTAAAGGATAACTGTTTCCTTGCGCAGAGTGTGTGTAAGGCATTATAACATCAAATATTTCTGTCATATTTAGCACTTGTTGGGCACATATGATGCACAGAATTCCATAGGATGTGTAGAGAGCACGTGGTGCATAGAAATTTGACCAGTATTAATAAGGAAAAGTCTTCTAATGGCAACGTATGCTATTTTCAAACTTTGCAACCTGTGCCTATGCTAGTTAGACACCTGACCCATAGCATTTGGGTCTACTCTACAGCTTCCAAGTACTATTTAACACTTCAATACGGACCCAGTTTTGCTTCTTTCTTTGGTTGTGTAGCATATATTCTAAATCTGCCCAAGGAAGCTATCGGAGTTCCTGCTAGCACAGTGGTAAAAATATTCCTATTATAGACAATAAAATAACACCAGAGATGGAGCAGGTGTACTGTAATATCCTTTGACAGTCCCCAGCCTATTTTTATCCATTCCCTTGCTAAGTTAATTTTCCATGGAAAGTGCCCTGAACTGCTCATTGTGCTTGACACTGGGCATGTCTATACATTCATTAATGTGCCGTAGTTACTGTGCATTCAATTTAGTACTTGTATAATTGAGTACTAAATCAGTGCAGTAACCAGCACTACTCTGCAGCAGCATAGGTACGTGCCTTTTTAGTGACGCTGCTGCACGGTAGCCCAATAATACTACACAGTAGCTTATTAGCGCTGTTTCTGCTGTGATGTGCTACTGTGCATTTAACACCTTGTGTAGACACACCCACTGTGTAGGAAACGTAATTTTGAAGCTAGCTTATTTGATGCGTGTGTGATGGAAAAGAGTGAACCCTTCCTAAGCGCAGCTACCATTTAACCTCTTTTCCAGTAGGACCCATTCCTTCTCAACTTGTTGTGAGGGAAGCTGGGCTGCAGTGGGAACAAACCTGGAAAAGGCAGGGATGTGTTGGGTCAGGAGACAGATGAAGCAGAGAATAAGAATCAACCAGAGGGGAGGAAGGAAAATTAGATTTTCACAGGGAGGTAAGAGGGCAAGAAGAGTAGCACTTGGTGATGTGGGAGGGCCCATGTCATTCTCTGCCTTGATATACACTCCTTCTTCCAGCTCTTGTAAAAGTTTCACCTGGTTCAAAAAGTGTGTTGGTACTGTTCCTGTTTCTTTATTCTGGGGCTGAGTTGGCATGATTCTTTGCTACTGCTGTACGAGGGAAGGATTAGTTTGCAATTAAGATGCAGTGGGATTTGGGAATAATGGGTTGCTTCCAGACTTGGCTTTTTTATCAGATAGCTTCGTGACCTAGGGCACCGCTGTTTCCCACTGAAAAATAGGGTTTATGATGATCACAGTGTCATGCTCCAGCGTGGATTTTTGAGACTACTCATTACAGTTTGGAAAGCCTTTCCGAATCATCTGAGGGAAAGTGCTGTAAAAATGCACAGACTCTCATTTGCTGGCTTTATTGCAGAAAGACTGGCATTTCAGAAACACCTTTCTTAGTGTGTGGTGTTACACATCCAGCAGCACGCTGTTTCTCCACCTTTCTGAAGATAACAGGACCTCCTCTTTTACATTTTTTGGTTCCCTAAAATAATTTACCATGTCTTTCTTCCTTAACTAGCTATTTTAACATAAAACCGGATCCCAGCTCAAGGTGATTTAAACAGTAATCGGGTGCTTTGCAGACTCCCCCAGCAATTCTCCAGCCACTGCAATCTGACAGACTGTGCATTAGTTGGAGGTTAACCAGTGTGCAGTTCAGGGTGCTGAACAACTGCATAGACAGCTTTTCTAAAGGCACGTAAAATTTGCCTAGAATGGAGCAGACTGCAGCTAGTCATCTCCTCAAAGGTAGGACTTACCCTTTGGGATTGGGGGGCCTGTACAGAGGTTAAGTATAGAGCCCCATGCTCTTTACTGGACAACAATACTGACTACAGCTATGAAGTTGAAAGCTGCTAATGGCCATGGGGGCTCTTAACCAGTTTGTACTGCCTTAATGTCAACCCTGCACCTCTCAAGATGACCCTGCAGCCCATAAAGCCTACAAGCAAGCCCCGCTTAAATCAGGATTGGGCATTGCACAGTTGTCTTTGCTGTTAAAGTCGGGGGCATTTGTGTTGCAAGATTCCATGGAGTGTAGTCAAGACATCCTGTGTCTAGAAAGTATTGCTCAGATGCCTGCTTATATTTACAGTATCTTCTATCTGGAGGTTTTGAATGACCTTGCAGAAGACCGTTATCCTTGTTTTGGTTATAGGAGGTGGGAGTGGCGTGCAGAGAGTTGAAATGATTATCCCAAGGCCGCAGGAAGTCAGTAAAGAGGGCTGGAATAGAACTCTGGTTCCTTGAATTTTCTGTTCTAATTTGTGGAGCATGCTGACTTAAGTTAATATTTTGTTTTTACTTAAGGAGGTTCTGCTATTTATAGTTCTTTCCACCTTCCCATTTCAGTTTCTTTAATCATGTTTTGAAAATAATAGGTCTTTGGTTCCAGTAACAGTGTTGTGAGTCAAATTCTGGCTGGCAATACATATGCCAAAACATCTGTGAAAAGCACCCAAATGGCATGTTGGAAGTTAGTAGGTCCAAACATACCTACATGTGGTCCAGGCAGGTGTTTATGTATGGCTTTCCCCCTGATTCATTCTGGGCATTTAGCTGTGTTCAGGATCTCATTACTCTATGGTTTAAGTGCAGGTTTAGCAGGTGGAAGAAAAAAGTTAGCTAGCAAATGCAATAAATATAATAACAACTGTTTAGTAAAGGTGTATTTTGTATCTTGTTCGCTTACTTAAGCATTTGCACAAGATCGCGCTCTACCATATCATCTACAATGCCTTGTCCAGTCTTCAGTAGCCTTCAACACTGATTTTAAGGTTGCCTCCGAGAGGCAGTCTAAAGTTATGAAATTCTGTGTCCTCTCTCCTATGATAATATCTTGTATGATCCTAAAATAGCTGTGTTAATTGCAAATATAATGAAAGGTACTAAGACAAAGTGTAAATGGGACTAGGTTTATACTTTTAAGTGTACTCAGTTTAGACTGGTTCTATATACAAGCGATACCATAGAATCAAGGCTTAAGTAGTTGCCAAGTATTGTTTTCCTTGAATGAAACAATCTAAAACTAGTTCTCTGTGTGTATTTGGAATTCAGCTATGTGACCTGATGAAACTAGTGCTTACTAGCATCTCCATGGAACTTTTGAACACGAGGAAGAACTACATTTATTTGCCTATTTTTCATGGCTCTGGGCACTTCAACTGTTGTTGTTTCTAAAACCCTTCTCATTGCTTGCAGAGATGGTAACTAACCAAAGAGATTAGTATAAAGATTAAAAACAAAGTGTAAAATTTGCATAATTGGAAACACTTATGTAACGTATGCAGAAGCCTCCAGGGTCTGTTTTGGTTTGAGGTTACACATATCAGTGCTCACTTCTAAAGATAAGAAGAAACCAGATGAGATGGTTCGTTGGAACATGTTGGACACTCATCAAACTTACAGTATTATGGACGAAAGGTCACATGGAGTTCATAGAATTCAGCAGATAGTTGAGCTGGCACAATGAGTTGGGTACATAACTAAACACTGAATATCTAATCCTCAAGTAGGACTCAATATAAGAAAAACCCAACCCTGTGATTTGCAGTGTTTGGCAACAGACATGTAGGCAGCTGGAGGAACTTAGGGTAGGACTTGGTCACCCTCAATTTCCAAAAAGTAGTAATTGGTCTTAAAACCAGAATGAAGAATAATCCGCATGCATATATATATATATATATATATATATATATATATATAAAGGGAAGGACCCAGTAACTTTTTAATGTTAATTATGGACTCAATTTATTCCTTGCAATGTTGACAGTAAAGGACAGGCAGCTGCACAAAAAGAATTGCTCGATTCAGGCAAATTTTTATTTTTGCGCACACACGCCTGAATTGAGCAATTCTTTTTGTGCAGCTGCCTGTCCTTTATTGCCAACATTGCAAGGAATAAATTGAGTCCGTAATTAACATTAAAAAGTTACTGAGGCCTTCCCTTTCCCCTATTATACTTTTCATTTATACTGTTCATAGTCAAGCATATGATTCTAATGCCAGTTATTCCAATTGTACTGTTAATACCATTGTACCTCCAGAACTACCATGGGGCAAGGCCTTGTACAAATCTTTGAAATTCTTGAGGTGCTGCTTGTAGATTTTGGCTTAGAGTTGGTTTAACTGGTGAGGACTAGGTTAAGAGGAAGTCAGCCTCAGGTTATAATTTCAAAAGAACAAAACCTTATGGAAACAGTCAATATTATCAATACATATTTAAAGAGTACATTATACATTTTACCATATACAAAAGAAATGAGTACCATTGGCAATATTAATAAAGGAATCTGTTTCTCTCCCTGTAGTGGTCTGTTTCGAATACTTTACATACAAGGAAAGCCTAAATCCAAATCTTTCTTCATGTTGTTAGTGCTGCAATTGCAGTTATTGTGCAGGTATATTTTTGCTTATGACTAGCATTTATATTGCACTACCTGCTGACCAGTAGCAGTTTTTACTTCCTTGACTTAATAATTTATTTTAAGCTACCTCTTTCCTACTGAATTTTATATTAAAGAGACTTTAGGAAATTGTAGAACATAAATTATTTGTTGTCTTTTATTTATGCTGCTGGGAATCCCATTGCTTAAGCCAAGAGGGAAAGGCTTAAGCAATGGGATTTGTCTGTCTTTTTAAATGTTTTTTTTTTTAAACATGTAATGTGAATTGTAAATGACAACTGTAATTGAAAGACTTATTATTGCAGTGAAGTTGCACATTTTTGAGCCAGTATATTAGAATGGCTGAACCACCACTGGGGATTTATTGACCTTAAATGAAGTGGTTGATGCTTAGCTCTTCTGAAAATCTGGTCTGTGGGGTGGAACTTGGTATAGTAGTCCTTCTTTGCGGCGCTGTGTACTCTCTCCTTGTTCTGAGCTCTTAAAATACAGTTAATTGTCCCTGAGCACATGAGCCAGTGTCCAAAGCTAAATTTAGCCTTCGGTTACATTTATGCAGCCCCATTGATTCTGGCTTAGGACAGAATTTGGACCATAGCTGGCACAAAGGAGGAGCTAATGGGACATACTTTCTGTCTTTTCAGCATCGTGAGACCACGTTTGGTCTCCATAAAACGTCATTGGATTTAAGAGGTGTTGCACTTGCTTCCAGCAGGGTTGAATTTGATCTTGCAATCAAAAGTGCTTGTAAACTGAAAGGCAAAAAGATGCCTGGGCTGGAGGGTATTGATTTTTTTGTATGCTTAGCTGCAGAGCCAGGTAAAAGGCTATATATAGATGTTGGTGGTAAATAGTAGTGTTTGTGTGTATTTAAATCATTGACTCAGCTTGAGTACTGAATGGGCCAGGCCTTTTAGCACAATGTGGGAACTTAGGTGATTCAGAAGTCTTTCTGCAAAGTGCCATTTTGAGATCACAGCTGTATTGCTGAAGCTGGTGATTTTTAGAACTCTGTCCAAGAAGTCACCCTTGTTCAGGCCTAAAAACATTAGTCTCCCTGAAGTCAAATTATGGTGATACTCAGTGGACACGTGTACATTAAACACTAAATGCGCAGTGGACTAATTCTACTGTGCGTTAGTGTGTCATAGCAAAAGCCGTGCTAATGCAGTAGAATTAGTCTACTGTGCATTGGCATCACTAAAAATGCATGCGCCACTGCTGCTGCACGGTGGTGCTAGTTACTGTGCACTGAGTTAGTACCTGTTATTACAGACTTAATGCGCAGTAACTATGGTGCATTAATGCATGTGTAGTCCATGCCCAGTTACATCATGTGACCTTGTGTTGGGTCCATCCCCTTTAAGACATTTTTGCCACAAATGACTAAGGTGTTAGCTGTTGTGACAACTGTAAAAACAACGTTCAGAACACTAAGACCTCTCTTCTGCCCGGGCTGTTTACGTTTTATGTGCACATTATTTGAACTGTAGCTGCTAGATTTCACTGGAGCTCTGCAAGGTAAAAATCAGCAGGTTGGCTTCAAGTGTGGGACCTTTTGGAATGACAGACTTTTTTTTTTAAATTAATTATCCTAATAAAAATGTTACGTGTTTACCAGGTATATTTCACTTTGAAATGGAGACTGGGGGAAGCCCAGGTAGTAGAATTCAGCCAAATATCAATATAGTGATCTCTTTACACTCTGGAAAAAGTTACTTGCTTCTGAATGATCTTTTGAGCATTTTAAAGATGTTCTTCTTTTAAGATTTTTGTAGACCCTTCTCTGCCTTGGCAAGCTAACTTTTAAGTGATTTGTAACAGCTCTGAAACTGCCTCTGTCTCATACAATTCATATGATGTCTTTGTAACTTATTTTGTGCCTTTTTTCTTCCTCCCTCTCTCTCCCCCACAACTCACCGAGGCAAAAATCTCTCAATAAAGATAAGCTCTTCTGGAACATTGCAAACCTATTTTATTGAACTGATTTGCTTTTCCGAACCTCTTTCCACCCCCGCACCCCCCCCTTTCCGGAGGGTGAGAAGTCATCTCCTAATAGAACAGATATTTATAACAGACTCTGCAAGATGAAATTGACAAGGTGGAAAGCAGGTCATTTTGGAATGCCAGTGCCACAAAGCGCCTGGGAAGCTGGGACTGTCAGAACTAATCAATATATCCCACCATATCTATCACAAATCATTTCTAACAAAAACAAACAGGAGCCAGTGGAATGTGAGAATCAATTTACTACCAACCTCAGTTGTTGTTGATTGATGTTGAAAGGCTGGAAACACTCTGGGGGATTTAGCACAGTAAAATACAAGTATTTTTATTGCTTAA